ACCTCCTGGCTGTGCCTGTTACAAAAGTGCTGTTCCCTGATGTATCCTAGGTCAAGGGAAAGCTGTGAGCTCTCTAAAATTACATTATGTTGGATTTAGATTCTGTATTTAAACTTCTCCCAGGACACACTTTCATAAAGCCTTGACATTGGATAATGAGCGGATGGTGTCAATAACTAAAACTGAGACCCTGGATCATGGTCACAGAGTAATAGGCTTTTCAGGTAAGAGTAGGAATCTTGAAAAAATGGTCATTCTTCCTTTTCTTTGCGGCTCAGTAAGATGAATGGGAAAAAATTGCTACTGATTGCATTCTAGATTTCATGGCTTGTTTTTTGTTTCCCTGCATATATGGGCTTTCTTCTAGGCCATATTCTCATTACTTAAGCAGGCAGGTTAAATTTGATTGAAAGTTTGGTATGCTGACTTTTTTTTAAGATAAAACCGTGACACCTGCCCTGCATTTGCAGTTTCTTTTGAATTCTGAAGCAGCAAGGGACAGAAAAATTTCAGCTCTCATTTTCAGGGCAGTCCTAATGCTTTTCCAAGGATGGTCTCTCCAGAGATAGGCCACATAACGCAGTGTGTCTAGGTGTCCCTCTGTCAGGATAGGCATCTCTTCTTCCTTCAGACCAGGGTTCAGGGCTGCGGTCTCTTGTTGGGGACTGGGATTATTTCAGTGGCTTGAACCAACTTGCAGCGCTGTGGACAAGGGATGACAAGCTGTTCTCTTACAGCCAGCTTTAGTAACGGAGCAGGGGGAAGTAAAGTATTCTAATAGTGGGCTAATAGGAATTGACCTCAGATGGCATTTTGGTCATCTGACTCATGTTCTACAACAGATGTTGACCCAAAATTCGAGATACTGAATTAGGGTAAAAGCATTGCAAAACAAACCCCCAAACCAGAAAGAAAAGATCCAAACCAATAAACACTCCTCAGTCATCATTTTAAAGCTACAAGATCAGACTCTTCTACCCCTTCAGGGCTGTCTCTTCATACACCAAGTTTGGGCAGTCTTCTTGAGCCAGAATAAATGTGCACATGCTATTTTTACACCATTTTCTCCCACCTCTATGTCTGTGTCCATGGAAGTCTTACACACACCTGTGTCAGACCACTAGCTATTTCCCTCAGTTTGCCTGCCAGTGGCTCTTGCCTTTACAAGAAATTCAGCCAGAAGCAGAGATGCAGATGCAGTAATGCCCATGTAGCACTGACACAGTGGTCTGATTATGCCATGCTTACAGAGCTTGGGATCTCTCTAGCAGTGCAGTTCCTGCAGCGGAGACAGGAGGAAGCAGGACAGCCAGAGCCCGTTGGTACATTTGATACTGAATATTTCAATGTGACAGGATTTAGTAAATGAAAATTCAGCCAACAATCATCGGGAGAGAGATTATTTGACATGGGAGAAAGACTGTCCCCTACGTCAGATTGCTTTTTATCTGGATACTTTGGCGCTCTTCCATTCTCTTAGGGGAAGGCAGCTAGGAAGAAAGATGCAGGGGGAGAGGGAACATGTTACAAATGTTTGCTGAACCAAACATACATTTGGCCAAGTTACTGCCAAATTGAGCAGGTTTTTATGTCACCCTTGGGTAGGTAACTAGCTAGAACAGACTTGAAAACATCTCAGGCAGAATCCCAGCTTCAAACAAGCCTCAGGAACATGCCAGCTTCTACTAGGTCACAGTCTGCTCTTCCAGAAAAAGCAAAATTGAGGACTGACAAGAATTACATTTCTTGGATTTTACTTGCTCTTATTTGAAACACATGCACTGGTCAATAGTTAACTTCAAATGAAGTAGAAAAATTGTCCTTCTAGTTAGATGTAGACTATTGAAATTCTATGCAGTACATGGGTAATAAAACATTTTTAAAGCAGAAGATGTATACAATAGGTGTGGCGTTCTCACTGGATTTTTTAATGCTTTTGTATGTCTAATCCAATACAAAATAAAACATCAGTCATCCAGTAGTCTCAGGGAAGGGAGGATCATATGAGAAATGGTCAAACTCTGTAGAACCAACTTAAAAGACAGACTTTGAATTTTTGACAACAGGGATGTGTAGCTGTAGATTGGAACTAAACCTTTTCTGCCAACAGTAGTGAATAGTGCTGAAAGCTCATGCAAAATAGGACAAGGTAGACCCTTGACATTCTTCTCACAATTGTTACTTTTTAAATCACTGACTATGCATGCAAAAGTTTGTTCGATTCATCCATTATGCATGTCCTAGAAATTTGATAGAGTTCTCATATGCTCCTTCTAAGAAAGAGGATAAAGACAGCTGCAGTACCCAATTGTAAAGATGTGGTTACTGGCTTGAAATGTCATTAAGTGTATTATTTGGTATTCCTCTGACTTGAATCATTTGGATGGGAATTTGAAAATGCTAATCCTCTCAGATTTTAGTGAACATTAGAGACAGCACACAATTATTCATAAAAAAGGCTCAAGGGGTTGTTACTGGATCCTACAGTAAAGATTTCATCTTTCTAGCACTAACATAATATGCTAATGAAAACATTGCATAGAAGTTAACTGCAGACCTTGGTGCCTGCCTTTTTGAGAAGTATTTTAGTATTACTTTAACTAACCTGTTCATGTACCTACCAGATCGTGCTCAGCCTGGAAGTATTCTGTGATTTCTTCTTTTATTTCTAAAAGAAGGGTCAGCAATGTCAGTGGATTTGTTTTAAGAGCGTTTGATGAATAGCAATTTTCTGTGACATTTTCACCTACTACCTAACATATTATGTTAGCTGTTCATTAAAAACTCAGGAGAAGGTGCCATCACCAATAGTCATTCTTCCACCATCTGGATTTCCTAGTTCCCCCTTTAAGTTTGGTGTGAATAAGCCAGCTGAAAGTAGGATGACCTCTGAAATATGTATGATCAAGCTAATGTCTCATATTATTTTCATCATCATCATTATTATTATTATTATTATTATTACCTAGTTCTTTGTGATTTTGTTGACAAGCCACACAAATCTTTAGAGAGATATGCTTTGTTGTATGTGAAACAAACATGGAATACAGATGCTACTGATAAAGTTTTGTTACTGATTTTTGTTCACACTAAAAGTCTACAAAATAGATTAAAAAATTGAAACCTTGCCCTTGTTTGTATTTTTCTTCCTTTATGAGACATTTAAGTGGAAATCTAACAGGAAATTAGACTGGAGGATTACTAACTGCAACTTAGGGCTGGCATGCCATGAAACATCAAGTGCTTGTGTCTTGCATACTGCACCCCAAAACAACTTTATCAAGTATCTGGGATTTCTTATGGATTTAAGGATATCAAATATGACATCAGCAGCTTCAGCAGCAAGAATATTCTAAGGGTCATGGAGTGGAAGAGCTACACAAGTTCTCATATAGTGTTTGGAAGTTGAGGATGAAGAACCTTTTGCATTGCCATCATAAAGTGAAAAGGGAAAAAGAAGCTAAACGATCTGTGCACAGCCCTATCGACTGTTCATTTCCTAAGGATCTTTCCAAAGAAGCATTTAGGAGGATTGCTTTTTCAGGGCTAATGTCTACAGTATTTCATTATGTCAGCCAACCATTCTACAGGAGTATAAATTAATGTCAGCATTACAAATTCTTACAAAAGTCCCTTTGCCAGTTATCTTACCTGGTACACAGTGTGTCTCTGGGGAAAATTACTCAGAAGTATCTACTTGGCTGTCATTTGTTCATACAAAAGAGATAAGTGTTCAGCCTGTAAAAGAGAGGGAGAGAAAGAGGAGTCCTCAAGTCTTTCTGTGTGTCCTGCTTAGATGGAAAACTTAGCTACCCCAGGACCAAAGTCACACAGAGTTAGTTTCACTGGCTTGAGGACTGTGTTTGGCAAAGATTTGTCTCTCTGCAGAGGTATCATAGTACCGTGCCTCTTGACAGAAGGTGGTTTCTAAGGCCACGTTTATCCCAGGGACCTGGTCAGAAGTGTATTACCATCCTCCATAGGCTCTGGTATTCAGTAGTTGTCCAAACCAGGAAGGAAGCACTTGTCCTGGACATAATTCACCCGTTTACATGTGACGAGAAGCTTTTAAACTAGTCTACCTGAAATTGGTTAACTGTTTCTCTTTAATTTGAAGCTGCCAGATTTATTTCACTGTTGACAAAATAAAAGAGCGGGCAAAAGTCATGATCAAGGAACCCTCTGTATAGCATAATCTAAGGCTATTTGCATGTTACTGGCAACAGCAATGGTGAGATTTAGCATCTTTAGGAAGTTTAAATTAAAACTTTATAACTCTGTATAGACCTTGATATCGATTACAACATCGTCGCAAGCATCATGACAAAAGACAGCTAAACTTGACTGTTTCAGAGGCTCCTGTCTTTTCCTCAAATTATTTGATATATTTTTATGCACCCACTGTTGGTTTTGGCATCTGCAGATTAATATAATTTGAAGTCTTATTGATGCAATAGATGGAATTATCTATACCCCAGAAAAGGCTCCATATAGCAGCTGCAGATATTCTGTATCTAACACATGGCATTTTCAGGAAGGGATGAACTGGAGACAGACAGATGAAAACATTTGGAGCCTCGGGTGTTCAGGTCAGAGCACGTCACAAGAGAGAAATTTGGCAGATACCAAGGATGGAGAAGTTTGTATTTTTTACAGCTTTTTGATACATTGACAGTGGAACTTTAGTTTGGTTTGGGTTTTTTTTTTTAATAAAGCACATCTCACAGAAAGAGTAGAAAAGAACAGTAGGGAAAATGCTCATTTCTGCTATGGCGATGCTGTGCCTTTTGAAGTCAGTGGGAGTTGTTGGTTATATGGTCTTTGAAAGGGAGAAGACAAAGTCAAAAGACTGCAACTAAAAGACTATGCTTACATTTGAAGTGGAAGGACTTCATCATGATTACCTGATGATACTCTGCCTGGTTTGTTCATTGAGAAAAAGCAGTATTAGAACTGCTGTTTAAGTGGATAGACTGAGATTTGGAGGGTGGGTTGGCGAGATGTTCCTGGTTGATCTCATTGCCATGGCCCTGTTCACGCACGTCAGCTGTAACCCATAGGAACCATAGGAACTTGTGAAAATAAGTTGCATTTCATCCTTTGTACTTTTTGAATCTAATCTTGTTTTAACATTTTGCTGGGTGTACCAGATGATTGATGTAGTCACACCCCAGATAAAATTTATCATTCTGTCATTTTTCTTCAATATCTTAGAAGCATTTTGGTGCAAGCTGGGATCTGAAGCAAAGTTACACCTTTTTTCTATGGTTCACCTTAGTTATAAAAATAATCCCCTTAGTTATAAAAATAATCCATCTAATTCTCAGTGATTCATTGACGGACATTTCCCAGATACGAACGTAGAATGAATTAATAGGTTAGTTGAACCTGAATATGTCTTGAAATAGATGTGCTGTATTTATTTTTTTTTAATACGCTACAAGGAGATATAAATGAACATAGGATCAGAACCTTATGAAATACATGAAAGGAGACCAGTTATATTTAGTCACATACATAATTGGCCTAGTTTCATAGTAAACATTCTAGGATAATATCAGCTATTCACAAAAATTACATGGGATGTAGTGAAAAGCTCATTACACTGAAACAAAAGTTTGCACTCCTGAAATTTCAGCATATGATAACATTAGAGTTTTTACTTTTAAAGATGTCCTGCGAGGACTGTGCTTTGTTCAGTTCAGGGCTGAGACCTCAAAGCAGCATTTAAATAGTCTTGTATCATCCATGATTAGCAGGTCATAAAATTGCTCTAAAAAGGAAAGAGAATGATTTTGATACAGCAGGAGTTCCATTATATACTTTAGAAATAGATATTTACCTTATCTTGAAGTCTACTTGACTTGAATTTACTGTCCATGAAATGATGAAGTTGCCTGTGTCAGAAGTCACAAGTTACTGTTGCTGAACCTGGAGAACTAAGGTCCAACTCAGATTGAAAACTGAGAGCTGAACGTGCTTCTTCTTCAGAAACCGGCTGCAAAAGGTTGGTTTTGGTACACTCCACGTGTGCTACAGTGTTTGTTCTTTCTGTGTTTCAACAGGCCTTGAATAGGGGCATCGCTGCTGTCAAGGAAGATGCTGTGGAAATGCTGGCCAGCTATGGGCTGGCGTACTCCCTGATGAAGTTCTTCACAGGTCCAATGAGTGACTTCAAAAATGTGGGTCTGGTGTTTGTGAACAGCAAGAGAGACAGGACCAAAGCAGTTTTGTGCATGGTTGTAGCTGGAGCTGTAGCTGCTGTATTTCATACCTTAATAGGTAAGGTCACTTCACATCTAATTAATGTGTCTTTTAATTTGCTTCCCTTGCCTGTTCTTCAAACTGATTAATCTGCAGGCTTAAGTACAACAGGAGATGCAAAAGAGATTAAATCTCTTGGGCTGGTGTCCTGCCCATCCATGCAATTTTTAATATTTTTTAAACAGGTTGTTAAGTGGCAAGTTCTACCCTCAGGATTCTCCTGCCTGGCAGCAAAACATGCTGCTGATCTCTTTCAGTCAGGTGTGTGAGCAAAACTTTGGCAAGGTTGACAGGTTGCATGAAGCTGATAGGTCAGTCTTACTGTTAGGGTAATGATGATGTACTCTGTACCTATCCCTTTGCTACTTATCTCACAGTACAGAACTCAAAGCAAGTGGGTGCCAGCATCCTCATTAAAATATCAGGTATTACTCTCCACTTCTGTTGAATAATTAATCTGTAAGAGAAATAGTTACTAAGAGTGCTTTATGCCAAACTGAGACCAGCTCCCTGAGTGTACTCCAAAAGAAAGAAAATACACAAGCAGATATGAACTGAATGTAAAAAGCAAGGCAGCCACACGATTTACCAGTTTCTGAGAGCCTGGAGAAATGGGATATCAACCCAAGCATCAGCCACAGCAATTTGACCAAGTGACCTGGAAGACTTTAACTTCATTCTCCCCAAGAAATGCACCAGATTCTCTGCACCTTCTGGCTCATTCTACAGAGCCAAGACCTCTGGACCTCAGCAACAAGGAACAGGAAATGCTGGAGGAAGAAGCAGAGAGTGCATTTCATTCAACAGGTAAAATCCTAAAAGCTGGGACCTCTAAGGGATGGGAGGAGGGAAGTAATGCAGCAGCTTATGGCAGCATGTGTTGATTGACAGGGAGTAGGGTTGAGTTGGATGACCAGCAATAGGGCATCATTCTTTCACAGAAAGATGGGAAATGTGAGTGTGATGGCACTATCCAGAATTGCCATGAAGTTACAGAGTGGCCTGAAAGTAAGGCACCATTCATCACCGGGCTGTTAATATCTCAAGAGCAGCGTGTGCTGCTGGTCAGCAGATTGGAATGGAATGGAATGGAATGGCATACAATATTTCAGTTCCTGCCCAAGTAGGTACAGGAGTGATCTGGTAAATACAAATGGCCCCTGGTCTTATCTTTTAATAGGCTGCCAGACATATTCATCAGCTTTATGTGCCTCCCAAGCAGTTTGTTTGACCATCATGTCTCTTACTCCACCACTGATAGGACAGCCCTATGCTGTTTACCTTTACTCCATATTATGGTCATAATAAATGCTTACAGAATGGCTCACTAGCCATGGCAACTCTGTGTCAGGAATAAGCTGTTGCTAATTTTATGGGCTGAATCCATGCATTCAAGTTAATATAATTCACTGGTATCAATCGGTCACCTCCTCAATATGTTTACAGTTGAGGCTGCTATATTGAGTCAGTATTATAAACTTTGGGCCATTTGTACATTTGGCTCTCATATTTCTTTGCTTGGAATGTTTCTTCAGCCCCCAGAGCTGCTCTTCTAGTTGCTCACTTGTTTTCATGCCAGTGCTGGTCAAAGTTTTGGCTTTGCCAGCTGGATAAAGAAATATCTTCTAGTCATCCAACATTTTATTTTAAGCTGTGATAGATTTTAAGGAAATTTAAGGTATAACTATCAAGTTTGAAAGACATAGCTGGATTTTCCATGTGGGACTTCTTATTGAAGGGGGGTGTTTGGGGCAACTGTTGGAAAACATGCCAGATTAAGTTTCTTGCCTTTGCCTGGAAGTAGAGTCCTGCTGAGTTCAGAACATCTGAAATGCCCTCTCTGCAGATATTGGGGGAAAAAGGAAAAAAAAAAAAGGCTGTATTTACCATGCTTTAAAGTCTGAATTAAAGGGCTTCACACAATTTTTCAGCTGGTTATGGTAGCAGACTGCAAAATATTGTTTAGTATTTTAACTTGTCTATGCCTGAAAATATGCAAAGGCCACAGCAGAGACTGGCAGAGTGCCCGAGAGAATAGAGTTAGTTAGATTCTAGCACCAATTGCCTGGGTGATGTTGCCAAGTTTTATGTTCCAAGTTTCCTTTGAACCTGTTTCAAATCCTGATTATTCTTCTCTGACCCACAGATGCACAACCTGCCTAGCAGGAGGAAGAGGAGTCCAGTGACAGGCAGCCTCCTAGGACCTGCAGCTACTCCCCAGCAGCTGAAAACCTATCACAGGGTATCTACAGGAGGCACAAATACAGGTTACTGATGCTTGGCAGATGAAAAAGAGAAACAAACAGCACTCAGGAGACCAAATTTCTTCCACATGCCATGTGTATGGGGCTAAGGAAGATGACATGACTGTCTGCCATGGACTGTCAAAGACTGAGAAGGAACAGGGAACAAAGCCCAGTGAAATAAGGAGGAGTACCAAAAGTCAGAAGGAAGAAAACAAGTGGTGGTAGAAACACAGTGACCACAATGAATCACCACGTTTCCAACTGTGATAGAGACTATTTGCAGTCTGCACACACAGCTTCTCACAAACAGCACCCTCCACTTATTTAAATTATCAAAACAGACCATCTCACCCACCTGACTCATGCTTCATTGCTTTCATCAGCTCCCCACTACTGCCTCCCCACTAGGGCTAACTCAGTCCTCTGTGGGAGTGACTGGATGAGCCAAACCACTCAAACTCACAGCTGCAAGCTCTGGGTCCCTAAGTCATCACCCCACCACATTCCCATGAACATCTGCAAAGTCCTCACCAACAGTTCCTATCACTTCTGTGTGCAGGTAGCCATAAGAACCAAGAAACAGGTTGACCTTGACCAAAGGGGTTTGAAACCATATTCTCATCCCACTTAAAATTCTGCTGCAAACCTTGGTCAGTCCAGCATTCCTGGATTTGCTGTTTCAGTTGCTATCTGGAAACAGAAGATAATATGCTGCCTTCCTTCCCTTGTGCTATTTTTGGGGGCAGCTACTGCCACCAGTTAGGGTGTCCTAGTGGGAAATTTGCTATGTAGCCAAGGTCTAAAACATCTCGTTATTTCACAGATTGGCTTTTGGTGGGAATATTCGGCTGTAAGAGAAGGGATTCAAGACACTAAGCCAGTCTGTGCATATTTTTGACATCTTACTGAATTGCCAGCTTGACAGAGGAGAGAAATCATTTATATAACTTTATGCTAACATAATGCATTTCATACTGTTGCTGGTAAGCCCTCCATGCTAAGTGGGTCCTTTTAACACCAGCATCCTGAAAGCCATGCACATTTATTTTAGCAATAAACCAGCATTGTTCAGCCTTTCACTAGTTTACTGAGAAATAGTATACTGAGAAAGTTTATTTCCTTTTGCATATGAATACTACTTTCCACAGCTCTCTGAGGTTCTCAAAGTGACAAGGCAGAAGTTACTTTGGGGAAACATCCTCTTTGCTTAAGTAGACATCCATAACTGGTGGCCACTACACCTGATTAAACACTACATGATGGATCATTTGTCATCACCAGGAGAAAAAGATTGGAACTTTAGTAACCAGGCAAACTTATAGCAGACTGGGTGGTCAAGACATGCAAGTGATTTGTTTTGTGCCAGTTTATTACTGACAGGCCAGTGGGCATGGGCCACTCCCTGCACAGATTGCACAGGGGAAAACTTTAGCAGTTGGTGGTAAATCCACTGATTCTTCTGAACTTCCCACATGCATGGTCACTGCATGTACATGAAAGATCTGCATAAGAAGCAAGACATAGGTGTAATCCCACCACTTCCAGTGTGACACTATTGGTATTTTCTAGAGACTGGGAGTTACAGAGTGGCTTATGACAACCTGAACTATTTTTTCCAGTCAGTCTTGTTCCAACGTGCCCACTGTACTGCCTCATACTAAATATTTTGCCCTGGAAAAAGATGATAGCACAGGAACGCAAATCAGAATATAATGCAGGCTTTCCTTTTTTTTTTTTCTTTCTAAAATATGATAAAATGTTACGTATTAAAAATGTGTCCTGTTTCACCGTCTTCAGATGCGTATTGCTAAAGTGTTAACATGCTTTCCCAGCTGCCCCAACCCTTCTTCCACAACAGGGGCAGTTTCTTATCAACAAGATATTCAGGGCAGAGGAAGAAAGAAGAAAACTTATAATCAAAGCAGTTGTGGATTTTAGGATAGAAATGATAGGTTATTAGTTAAAACAGGCTGACTTTGAGACTTGTGAGATGTTGGCTTACCTAAAATTTTAGAGACCAGTGGTCATGGATAGATTTGGGAAAATCAACTAATGACATTTTGGAACTAGAGCTGAGGACAGAAAAAGATGATTGGAGAAATCAATTTGCACTGAGATGCTCCTAAGCTGTTTTTTTAATATCATTTATTACTATAAGCAAAAGAATCACAAAGCCTAAAACACTGATCATCTGGGTTTTCTCAAGGGGGACACAGGCTTTTGCTTCTGCTTTAAGTCAGGCTAACCAAAGACATGAAGAAATCTGTGTACCCTGTGCCACCTCCAAATGAAGATTTGCCATTCAATTATCTTTCTTTATTTATTTTTTTTTTTAAATTGGTGTTTTCCTATCTGTCCAAGTCACTTAGCTGAACAAACTCCTGACCAGCACCAGTTTTGGCCATATGAGCCATCTTTCTGACAAGACTTTCTGACTTACTTCTCAAGTCTTCAGGTTCATTTTTTAAAATGTCAGTGAAGTATGAAAATGGAATGCATTTAAAAAGAACATGCTTTAACCCAAAAACATTTTTGGATTTCTTTTCCTCCAGTAAAGCTAATATTGACATAAGTAGCTCAGTGTCTGGAAGTAAATGGTATCACTTCCTGTGAGGGTTTCTTTTTGTTTTCTCTATGATGTAAGTATAACGTGCTGGGTAGTAGACAACTCCAGAATGACTGTGGTACAGCTTTTTGTTTGAGACTGCTGGCATCATTAAGAGTGTGTTCCATTGTTTTAAGGATGTATGATGTTCATGTGGTAGTAATTGGCTTGTTAGAGAAATCGGTCTAGGGAAGATGAGATCCAATTAGGTACGCAGTTTTCAGTGTCATTTCTTAGGCTTCTGGGTCTTAAAACTCAACTAGAAAAGCCAAAAGCAAAAATTCCTTCTTAAATTCTGTAGCAAAACTAATCCACAGACATAACAAAATAAATGAGCTATTAGAGGAGAGCAAACAGGCAGCTTGTCTTGGAGTTGGACTTCTCTGTTTTGATTGAAATGATGCAAGGAATGGGAAGAGCCATCTGCTTTAGATTCATGTAATACTCTTCAGCTCTGTTGCCTATGTTATTTTGTACCATGCTTCATAATAAGTTTGTAAGGTTGGCCAAGGTTAAGTTCTAATTGCATCAGCAATTGCTTTATTCACAGCTCAGAGACACATGCCTGTATATTTGTCAGTAAATCTCAGCTTGCCGAGTCCTTCTTTCTGAGGATGGAAACATTCATGGACATCAGCAAAAGTGATTGTGTGCTTTCATTGACGTGAAATAGTTGGCTGTTTTAAAACTATCTTTTAAGCTTAGCCATTATGATTTTAAAATCAAAATCACATTAAAAAGTGTGGTTAGGCTTTTTTTTTTTTTTGGGGGGGGGGGGGGGATGGGGGAGAGAAAAAAGAATCTTAAAGCTTACAGAGCACAGTGCTGATATCCTCAGAAATCTTAAAACTGTGCTGCTGTGGGCTATGGTGGTAAAGGTCCCTTGAGAGTGCCCTGCCAGTAAACTACAGCCATGTAGTCTGTTCCTAGAAGTGAGAGTAGTTCAGCCTCTGACCCCTCTGATTCTGTGAATTTTTCTCTGATGGTAAACTTTAAAAAAAAAATAAAATTAAACATTGCAATGGCTTTTAGAGCCCAAAAATTTATTTACTACTCACTTTCTAAACACTTTAAAAGTCTCATTTAAAGCAAGTGAAGCCAAGGTGAAGTGCACAGAGAGTGACTTCTGCATCATGCTGTCCTCCCAGCATTGTACTGCTCGTGGAAGCCCCTCCACAGAAACAGGTTCCTCAGCAACTGGACTGAGTCCCCATGTAGGAAATAGGGCTGGTGTGTTTCTGGCAGCAGTTTTTAAGGTTTTGTGCAGGAGAAGTGTAAAGTAACTTCAACAGAACCTAAGAGACAGCTTGATGAATCTGACCCTTGGACAGGTGGCTTGCTTCACATGCCTTCCAAACTTCTTCATTCAAATAAATTGATTTGGAAACATCCATGTGCTCCATGCCATAAAAGCACCTTTCCACAAGGACTTACCAGGCAAAAATCCATGCATAACAGAGTTTTCAACATACTGAGCGAGAATTGGTGTATGGGTATCATGCAAAAATAGAAAGAGGCCATTCTTGATGTGTGACTGGACTTCAACAAGCACATGAACGCTTAAAGAACTAAACTGGTCAACTGAGGAGAGGTTGGAGTCCTGGTTTAAAGTTCTTCCCCAGCCCCCTTCAAATGGAAACAAGACTGGGAGTGCTTCAGGAGGATGGCTAAGCAACTTGGGGATTACTGGGTGAACTGGGAGACTGTGAGTCTAACAGTCATAGTTCAGATGAAAGACATATAGATAGGGACCAGCATAGGGAAAGGGAGAGTTTGTAACATTTTAGCATCTTTGAGACAGTCCTTGTTATCTGGAATGAGGCTCGTGCCTGTTCCCAGTGCTGTCATGCCACTGCCTTCTGTTTTACTACCTTATTTACTCTGTCTTGTTCTGACTGAGAAAGTCTTTGCAGTCCTGTTAACCATTTAACTGCTGTATCCCTAAGCTATTACAAAACAATGACTTAAATTCCTCTTTAATTGCTTCCAAACACTGTTTATGAATTATGAGAGTTAGTTTTAAGCTAAAAAGATTGAATTAGATGACTAGTGTTAACATTTGTCAATCCAATTATGTGACTTGCATACATGAAAAGGATAACTTTCCTGAAATACCCTATATGAAGGTACAGTGATAATAGACTTGTTATAAATGGAAAATCAGATAGATATTTGCATGTGAAATAATTATCTTAGAAAAGACACAAATGGAGGAGAACTGAAGTAATATTCCCCAGACACAAGCAGTTCTCCCATTACTTGTATTGGGAGGTTGACTTTACAACCTAATAATTCTTTTAACAGCTATTACAAGTGTATAGAGGAAACTAAGGAATAATATGCAGGTTTAAAACATAGTTTATAAAAGGTTAAAAACTATATGAATTATTTAACTGTGCATATTATATAAACCCCCATAGTTCAGAGACTCCAGTCATAGCAAGCTCTTCATTATTCCTGGCCATGGGGAGGACTCTGGGATTATTAAAACAGCTGGATAACATAGGTACTAACAGAGACGTAAGCAGTTCTTTAGAGAGCTTTGTGATGAGTCCCTGCATCTGTGCTGTCTTCAACCCAGTGCCTTGGGAAGAGAGACTTGGCAAGAGGCATGTTACCCAACACTAAAAAAATTCTTGTCACAGGTTGAAACAGGACAGGTGATTGGAAGTGGCAACCAGTTTACCAGCAGTGCCGTTTTCTGACCTGTGGCTCCATACATGCTGGCTCTAGATAAGGAAGGAAACTAAGGCTGGTTGAGGCTGCTCAGAGACTGTACAGTGAAGGGCGCAGTGCCCTGACCAGTCCCAGCAGAGGTGATCATTAGGCAGAGTAAGGGAGGGGCATAATGGGTGTGATTTGTTGCATGCCTTTGCAATTCATAGTATCCTTTTACAGCTTTGAGCAGGTTTACAAGTAATGCCATGAGATTGCAGTGACAATAGATGGTTTCAGAATTTATAAGGTACTACATCCCATGAAATACACAATGCCTGGTGAAAACAGCTTTTATAACAAAAAGTCTTGAGTTAATGAAAGAGCAGTAGATTTTCTGGAGTACCCGTGTGTTCATTTGGCAAACAGATGTGGCATTTACTATACCCATCTCCCAAACCATCCATTTGTTATCACTCTTCTGCCAAAGGTTACTTGAAAAAGAACCATGAGAGCACTCCTTAGTCATAAACAGCAGCTGTTGAGGCTGTAATATCCTGAAGCCCCTGCAGCTGTTTGCTAAGTAGATGCGTGTCTGAGCTCCTAGGCGTCACAGTCTTTCAGGTACCTCTGAGTATCTCACCCAGGGTCCATATGTAACCTTTATTATTCATTCCTATTCTTGTGTCTCTACAGCATATAGTGATTTGGGGTATTACATTATTAATAAGCTGCACCATGTGGATGAATCAGTGGGAAGTAAAACTCGGAGGGCCTTTCTTTATCTTGCTGCCTTCCCTTTTATGGATGCCATGGTGAGTGCCTGATTCAGAACTGAATTTTAATATTTATGTGATTTTTTTTTCTTTGATGACCATAGTTCACAAAGTCTGTTATGTGATGGGAAAATGGAGGTGTGCAGAAGGAAGGTGTGTCCTTTGCAAGCAGTAACTGAATATACCTTGACACATCATCTCCTGCTACCTGGAAAAAGCATCTGGGTGGACTTTGAACATCCAGAAATCACGACAAATGTAAAAAACATCAGCTGCCTTGTTAGAGTTTCTCTCTGTGTATGCCGGAAAGCACTGGTCATTTTAAGAGCTGCACCAGTTGTCTGTATGTGTCCTCTCATTTCAATTTGTAGTGAAGGAGCTGGTTTTGCCATGGATTCCCAGATCACTTACAGAGCTCACAGGAATAAGCTCAATATTTTCTCAGAACAAATTTGTTGAAAAGATATTTCTTACCATCAGTTTTTTCAAGCACAACTAAGTCCACTATATCTCGAATGCTTGGGCAAGAGAGCCACACATGGGGTGGGCTGCTGCTTCCCAGATCACCAGGCTTACTGCTTGTGGCCTGCACAACATAAAAATATGGCAGCTCTCTTTAATACCTCTACTTCTGTGTAAAACTGGTAAAGGATAACCTTCTCATGGCATGCCACCAACACTTTCTCTACTATTTTGTTGGTTGAAACAGTAGCTGACAATAAAAAGAACTTGGATCATTAAGTTTTCTTTCCCAGACATGACTCGGTATAACTCAGTGGGCCAGTGAATATTGTGCTTCAGAATTGCATCCAGCTGGTGAAAGAGAACAAAGATTTTTTTCCCTCAAATTATTTACCATGGTAATGCATCTTGTGCAGCATCTGTTTTATGAAGAAGTGGCAGTTTCTTATTAATCTGCTCAGAAATTTCTATACAGTCTATAAAATTACTCACATTCTCCCTGTCTGCCCTGGCAGTGAGGAACTGAATGCAGCAGTGCTTTCTGTGCATTACTGACTTAACATCTGCCCAGGTTCACACCAGGTACTGCTGGTGGAAAAGAGCTTTATAAGTTATTTGTGTACAGCATAACAACCAGAAAACAGTATTCTGGGACCTGAAATGATTCACAAATATCATAATCACTTCCCAAACTCTTCTCTGCCTTTTTTCAGGCATGGACCCATGCTGGGATTCTGCTTAAACACAAGTACAGTTTCCTAGTGGGATGTGCCTCCATCTCAGATGTCATAGCTCAGGTAATGACTCCTCTTAGCAGTCACTGTTTTTGTTGTGTTAAGCACTAGATGCTTTCCTAAACAGGAACTCTCTTGCACAGAGACTGCCTTCTTTCTCTACCGTGAACAACACACCAGAGGAAGTAATCTTGTGTGCTGTTCTCTGGCTGTTTCCCTGTTGTGTGGAGGCTGTTTGCTGACAGTTGTGGTTTAGGCTGGTCTCACTTGACTGGATCAAATCAATCCCAAGCCATTGTCAGGAGAAGGAAACCAGGACTGTTTTGAGCCATGTCTTCCAGCACCTCCACAACCCTCTTTCAGAATGGCTGAGAAACAAGTTACATATACATCTGGCAAAAGAAAGGTTAGGCAAAGAAACAGATGGCTGCTACCAATCCTGAGGCTGATGGAGTGCTTTGAAAGAGACCTTTCTCCACCCTGTGCACTCTTCCCCACGCTTTGCACAGTTGCACTGAAATCCTGAGTGGGGCTTGTAGGTGGGGAAGTGAAGGCTTGATTCTCTAGTTCACCTGTCAGCTTTGCACATGCTGTCTAATCTAGTGAAATGCAGTAGTGTAAACCATCTTCTGAGTGCTAGTGTGGCACTACTCTTACTGCTCTAAAAGGTGATGGCTCAGAACTGCAGCAGAAGAGATCTGTGGTGATAGCCCCTGGGTGATGCAGAGAAGACCACATGCTTCATTTGCAAGGGAGGTGTTAACTATCCTGTTGCTTTGTACTAGATGCACTTAAAAAACAACATTCATACACATTGCTGATGGCCACTGTTGTAGCACTTGAGAACCAATATACAGCCCTCTTTTTAAAGCATATATAAAAATATTACAAAATTGAGAGTCTCAACACCTGTAAAACAGTAGCTGTACTGCCCCATTACCCACTGAATGGTGTAATGGCTAGGTAAGAAAGAGGATAATAAGAGTACAACATCAAAAGATATATGAAGTCAACAGCACTTAGTTCAATTTTCCATTGCATTTTCTTCCCACTGAATATGAGCGAGCCATAAACCGGGTTGAACCATTCAGTCAGCTGCTATTCTGTGTTTGACAGGTCTGCCCCTCTACAGTACTACACTAAATCCCTGAAGATAATACCAATTACTGTAAATGACTTTAACCCTCAGGATCTGCTCTTGTTCTGTGGCCTACGAAGTTTGCTGACACCGGATGCACGTCTGATCATATACAGCTAAATACAGAAACAAATTCTTATTTTGGCCATGGTACACATGCCCTTTCCACAATGGTTGGCAAGTGGCATGCCAGGGTTATGAAGAATAAGACACCTGTCATTTTCTCTCAACAAAATATTGTGCAGAGCAAGAGCAAATCCAGAAGACAAAAAGTTGTGACTCTTCGTACCCTAGAACTCTGTATACCTACATCTGCTCCCTGCACAAGTAATAGGTGTGCAGGCAGTAGCTAATTCTCCTTGGATAGCTTCATAGACACATTTTTGTGGCTGACTTTGCTTCTGTTTACTGAAAAACAATTCTTTTGTAAGGTTCAAAAGAGCAGTTTTGCAAATCCTTATACAGTGTGGCCTGCCTAGTACACATTTGCATGGTGTGATTTTTCTTAAGCTCTAAGATTCCTTGAGCTCTAGCAATGAAGGAGAGAATCTGCCCCTGAATGATGTGTTCTGTATTTCTTGTAACTCACTTGAATGCCAGCATGTCCCGGCAGGGTTGTCCTTGATTCTGCTGTTCACAGCACCAAACACAGTTGGCTTTGAAGTCATGCCCCCTTATCCAGAGACATTTGGAATTTAACAGGCACACCATCAGCTCTGTACTTAAAAAGAGAATAATATCATATTAATCAATTACATTACATTTTTTGGATTGAACATTTAATCTTATGAGACTGAATTATGAGCAGTTCATTAGCCCAAAAGTCTCCATTTCATTTACATCAGTATGGCACTCAGCTGAAGAGAGAATGATGAAACACTGAAATTTCACTAAAAAAAGTAGAAAATTAGGATATCATAAAACTTCCTGCTTCTAAATGCTGAAGTGAATATTTTAAAACATCTGGCTTTTAAATTGCCACTTCCTCCCCCCAAAAAAAGTAGGGCTTAGAAGCTGACCCTAGAGGCACGTCTCCAGCCTCAGTGTATATCAGAATAGCACATTCTCCTGGAAAGGGCAACACTCAGCCACATGCTTGCTGCCAGACCTTGCCAGACTTCGATGCTAACCTTCTCCTATTTATGGCTCCTAGTCTGACACCTGCCCATACCTTCAAGTACTGTTTAATAGAGCTTCTGTATGATGTTAACTCTCATTCTTCTCATTTGTATTACATAATGGAGAGGGAGTCCTGACTAAAGTTTCAAATGCCACAAAATGCCACAAACTCGATTGAAGTCACAGAGATACTGTAGTCTCACATGGTTGTTGGTTCAGACGGATTAGCTTGGAGTCAGATGGAAGATATGCCGGCCCTAAAGAAACACAAATTATTAATGATTTATTTGTTTGCCCTGCAGGTTGTTTTTGTAGCCATTTTGCTTCACAGTCACTTGGAGTGCAGGGAGCCTCTCTTGATCCCAATCTTGTCCTTATACATGGGAGCACTTGTCCGATGTACCACGTTATGCCTCGGATACTACAGGAACATACATGATGTCATTCCTGACAGAAGTGGGCCTGAAATGGGGGTATGTCTTAATACTTTGTGCTTTTTTGAATTCAGTAATTTTAAACTTGCTTTGTGTTATAGTACTGTATTAAACCATGGGAGGCATGAGGGGCCTCTTCTCTCTGTCTTGCAGGAAAAAACATTTTCACTTAAAGAGGCATGGTAGAAACTATTCCAGCAACAACACACATGAGGCAGTGCTTTTTGTGGTATGGATGTGATGTCTGCTGAGCACCTCTGTACTGAGCTGTAAAACAGCACAGCATGAACTAAGTGGGCACCTTATTTCACAGGGAAGAAGGTCTCAAAATTCCCCTTTTTCCTCGAATGTCGTACTGGTTTTCACATATCTTTGGTAGCCAGAACAAATTATTCAAATACATACCTTATACATTATTTATTGATATCCATGACACAGCTTCTTTTGAATCAGTATTACTAACATGAGTGAAAATATTTTAGGCTCCTCATGTTGAAATCTACTGAAATGAATGTATCAAACTGACAATGGATGGAAAAAGCAAAAATCTTTTCTCTGTACTTTTGGTTCAGTACCATGTTATTTTCCAAACTCACTTCCTTTTTTTATTTTTTCATGTGTGTTGCAGGGAGAGGCTACAATAAGGAAGATGCTGAGTTTCTGGTGGCCTTTGGCATTAATTCTGGCAACTCAGCGAATAAGTAGGCCCATTGTCAACCTTTTTGTCTCCCGGGACCTAGGTGGCAGTTCTGCAGCCACAGAGGTAAGAAAATCGGTGCTCTCCATTACTGCAAGTGATCATTTACATGTAGTTACCTCTGTGTTTCTCTTTTCACCCATGCTGACAAGTAAAAATTGTCTGAAGTACGTTTCTGTTTAGTGCTCTCTTTATCCTTGAGAAGAAGACTGCTTGGACTCTTACCAGGAGCTTTTCTGCCAGGCCTAGTGGGACCTCACCCTCAACAAGACCAGTAGAATTTTTTCACTGGACAGGTCCTGTATTCATAGTTTTCATGCTCCACACATAGGTGCATATGCTGTGGAGTATTCAGATCCCAGAGATTTTAGGACAGTCATCAGTAGTTCCATCTGTTTCCTGTCATATGTATTTATGTCTGTGCAAACTGATGTGAAACTACTATTAGCAGTCAGTGCACCACACAGAACTGGGTAGAGACATAAGGAAACATATAAAAAAAAATCTGTCTTCTGGTTGGGATGTGAAATACACCCTCATTCTCTTGAGGAATTTCAGATTACTCCAGTAGTCTCCTACACCTGATGGGACCTGGACTTCTGATTGTAATGCAGCGCCTTCACCAGTGCTCACCATGGGCTGACATATTCTCTCAAGAAGTCTGGGGGACCTTTCCTGCCAGGTTCAGTGGGAGGATGTCTAGATCCACATAGTCATTAGCAAATGTCTCATGTTTTTTCTGTAGGAAAAACAAAGCTGTAAGTTACTAAATGGAAAGGCAAATTCAAACAGCTGATGCCTAACGAACATTCTCTCAACACTGCTAATTTGTCATATGTGATACTGTGTATTTCACTTGCTCGGGAGTTGCCAGTGACTGCAAATAAACAGCTGTGGAGAGAGAATTTAGAAAATGTAACGCTTTTACATGTGTAAATCAGGGATCAGTCTATGTGTTAATAGCAGTCTCAGTACAAGGGGAGACAGAGTGAGTTAGCAGAGATCAGTTTTGCATTTCTTGGTGACTTGATTTTAGATGCATCACATTTCATGGATAGTCATTTGCATTTTGTTGCTATTAGGATGACTTCGAACACATGTCATAGCTGGTGGTTTGCTGGCCTTTTTGAACTAAGAGTAATGGTCATTTTTCAACTTTCTCTGATTTCTGAAATAATTGCTTCTGAAAAGGGAGGTGCTGGCAACACAGATTACATCAGTGTACAGTTGCGTCAGTATACACAGGAGTTTTATAGGTTCCCTGTTCAGTAATAGGAGCAACTTTCAGTGTGGGCAGAATGTCAGGGCTAGCCTGTAGCATCTTTATGAGGGCAGCAACTCTGCTTGCATTGGCCAACTCACCCTGCTTCTGTTTGAACTGCCAGCACAGTTATAGTGATTGAGGTAGCTTTTTTGGTGTTGGCTTTGAAGGAGGACTTTTTAATCTGTCAAAAAAAGGTCCTAGACATCTAGGAAAGATTTCATGCACATATTTTGGGATCCCACCAACTGAAGAGAAATACTAGAAGAAAAATAATTGCTAAAAACTTAGATAATTTAATCCAAGTGGAATCTATCATACAAAATGTCATAGTGAAATACTGTTTTCTTTAAGAGTTACTGTGTCTTTGCAGTCTTTTGGGGCTTTATGAAAATAAGCAAAATATCTTTTATATTCTTTATCAGATTTAACCTAGGTAGGTTTCACACAGACAGAAATTCTTCTGAAAATACAGTAAGGGGGGGGTGGGAATTGCAACTAAAAAAGATACTATCTTAAAATTCCAATTTTTTTTCTTAGAACCAATTACTTTTTCAAGGTATATTAAAGATTATTAAAGCTATCATTAACAGGGAAGAATCTATCCCACTTCCTTCCTCTCTGTGGATGTCACTACTTTCCCCCACTTTTTAAACAGCAGAGGGAACAAATTAGATTTCTACATGGTCCTGTGTTTGTATAGACCTTTTAACCAAGCAAGGACAGCAATTACATTTATAATGGGAAGATGGGCTCAGATAACCAAGAAAATGTACATTGAAAGTTTAGAAGTGAAACAGAGACAGCAGTAGTCAAGTAGTTCTTAACACTACTGTTGCCAGATGTGAAGTGAATCTGAATTTAGGCAAACTAATGGATCTGAACTTGCAGACAAAAAGCAGTCAAACACTTTGATTTGTGCAGTTAAGAGAGTCAGTTCTCAGTACACATGCACACTTTGGCTCTGAGGACTAGAAAACTTGGGGTGACAGTAGATTTCCAAGCAGTTGCAGGAAGAGCTCCCTAAACTTCCTGCGTGGAAGACATGAGTACATGTATTTGAACTTCTTGAGAAATCAGAACCATCAGCAAAATCTTCATACACATTAATATGTAGAGGGGAGGTTATGTCTTTGATGCACCTCTTGGATGGTACTTGTGAAAGTGCAAAAGGGCGTGGTTTTAAATTGCAGGCAGTGAGTTGTTTCTCAGGATAAAAATGGTCATCTGGAATTATTCTTGTCTGGTTTTTGCTGATGAACACCAAAGTGGGGAGAGGGAGTATTTTTGTGTTGTGCCTCCTGCCCCAGAGCAGTCAGTTCGATGTCCAAAGTCAGTCAGCCACTGAGGCCTACTGTTTTGTAGCTTGTCTTACTTAAAACTGTTTTACATATGAACAACCAAGTAAAATTTATATCAATTAAAATTATGAAATATGATCCAAAGTTACCATGAGGTGTAAGGCTTTCTGCTACTCAGGTGTAGGTGAAATAACTGAGAAGCAATGTGGGAGGGAGGTATTCGGCTGGCTATGGGGCATACACCAGCTCAGGTTAACCATTATCCCAAAGTATCAGAGTGATGGTGAAATGAATAAACTGAGAAACATAGCTTCATGGCATGAAAGATTTTGTAAGCCTAAAATGCCAGGCCAAATGATGGCCATTTTGATGGCCTTCCTGAAACAAACAGCTTCCAAGCATCTGACTGGTTTCTCATTGTGTCAAGGTCAGTGTGGTGATACTGGTGGGAAATGGCACCCTATGTTAGTTTAACAGTTCTGTTCAAAGATTTGACGTACATGTTTGCCTTCTCTTTTTATAGGCAGTGGCAATTCTGACAGCTACGTACCCTGTGGGACACATGCCGTATGGCTGGCTGACAGAGATCAGAGCAGTATACCCTGCTTTTGACAAGGTGAGTGCCCATGTTAGGGGTGTAATAAATACCTTTTGTGTGGTTTCACATGCATGGTCCTCCTCTTTCTTGCTGTTACAACATTCTAATTTAGGGGTGGCTTCTGTGATGTCAGAGGAATTTCTGCCAACCAAATATGAAGAAAGTTAGGTCATGGCTCCATAATTGAGTGTAATAGATTCATTAAAAAATAAACCAACCAGAGATTAAATAGGGCTGTATTAATGGCCATCTACTGTCTTGCTTCTCTTTACTTTTGCTTCTGATGCCTGTTGTTCTTTGTCCCACTGGTAAGATTTTCTTAAAATCCTAGTTAAAATGAACTGGGTTTTGGTGGCTGCAAGCTGTTGTCTGATTTACAATTTCAACCTTAGCTCTGTGTTACAAGGTATTAAGCTACCTTTTGAATAGATAGGTGCTGTATTTTTAAGGATTAAAAAGAAGTCCTCACTTATTTACTCACTGTGATGTAGCTGCTTAGCTAATGAAATGATTTCTCATGAAGTGTCCATCAGTGCCTGAGCAAGCTCACATCTCTGCTCCACATTCTGCAGTATCTCTCAAATGGGTTTGGGTTCATTTGCATATGTTAATATTTAGCAAAGGTTGTTTCACAGACTGACAGTAACACAAGATAGCATACATTATTTTAGTTGTACTGACTTAGCTGACCAAGGCTATGCAGATTTTTGTTGGCAAATCATGTAATTATGTAAGAATGCAAGAATGCAAGGACTGCTTCTGGAACTGAGCATTGAGCAAATATATAACAAAAAATTAATTTTATTTAGACTCTTTCTTTGTTTTAAAACTGGTACTCATTAGTCCATATGTTGTGCAAAGAACAGTCATGTCCTGTGACACTCTTAATTCAAATGCCAGATCCTCTGCTTCCCTGTATTTACCAATTAGTAACTGAACTTCCTAGTTCCAAATACTGATGAAAAAATGTTTGCTTGCTCTGGGATGTATTTAACTGAAGCAAGCCGTGTTTGATATGATCCACCATATTTCCAAGGACAATTTAAAAACAAAACAAAGAAAAGTCATATCGGTCATAACTTCCCAACCTGGCTGTGTACAGCTAAATTGAACCTGTCAGATAAAATACAACATGAAGGCTTTCTCAGAGGTCATGCTGCTGAAAAGGAACAGCAGATGCAAAACCAATAAACTGCAAGATAAAAATGGTTTGGGACAGGAAACACAGGGGCTGCTAAACTCATCTGTTACAAGCCACAATGAAATGCACTGTTGCCAAGCAAAATTAACATCAATTAAGACTCCTAAATTCAGGTCTCATTTAGCTGGTGGAAGATGTGCTGACAACTTCACTGGTGACAGGATTAGACCATGATTTGTCTGTTTGTTTATTTGAGTTAAAAGGCTTCTCAGAGAGCTCTTGTGGAACAAGTGTGAGGAAGAAAAAAACTAGGGTAAGGCACAGATAGGTACAGTTTATCTAACTGCCAAAGAAGTATATAATGGGGATTTTAGGTGCATGTTTTAAGAGCAATTTTCTTAAAATGGTCTAAGTGAGGTAGCAGCAGTATAAAGGGTGTCTCATCCTGGCAACCATGTGTGCAAATGTCTCCACTGTACCTTTCAGACAGTAAATACCAAAGCAGAAACCCACAGTGGGGTTTTTCAGATTGCTGTGAGAATCGCTTTACCCTCAGTCACATGTCATTCGCATGTCACCATGCCTATCAGAAGTTTTGTTTCCTTAAGCTAAAGCTTTCTCAGAAGAGTCCAGATAGAAGCACTTTTTATTTCGGGACTCTGTAAAGCCTCCATTGTGATTCTCAGATGCCGAAACAGTTAGCGTGCATGCAAACTCCCATTTTCTTTTGTCAGTTACTCAGAAAGCTGGCAATGCTGATGGCCTTCAGAAGCACATTTCATTGCCTTAACTGGCTGATGGGATTTGGAATCCAGATACTGTGCCCCTCTTCAGTGGCTCTGCTGGAGAAGTCAGATTCTTGTCTTCACTGGAAAATTGTTACCTCTGCTCACATTTGTAAGAGAGATGCAGGATCCTGCTTCAGTCTTTTATGGAGACTCTGTGTCCAGAGCAACCTCATGGCCTAGCAGTTACACTCAGGTTAAGGGTTACTACTGATTTTCTGAATGAACACAGACATAGCCTCATTCTATGCTCTGTTGGGTGTTCTATATGGTGATAATGCCATTACTCTTAATGGACTGTGATGTCTGATTCAGAGCAATAACATTGACTGAGAGGCCTTGTGAACAATATTTATCTTATTAATAGATGGGAATGGATACTCTTTTTTGCTCCATAATCTGCATAGTGCTTTGATCCAAGAACTAAACAGTGTTCAGGAGATAAGAATAAAGGGTACGCAGTCAAGAGTTAGAGCAAAGGGTGGAATAGAGCAAGGGCAGAGTTAGCAGCAGCAAGGTAGGAATGAATGAGAACTCTTTTTCTTCACAGCCTTTTTTGGATGGCTGGATTTGGGTGTGCTTTCCTTCCCCTATGTTATTTTAGCCTTGTTGGAAAGTTTCATGCAGCAGGTCCGTTTAAACACACCTGTGAGCAGTGTAAGCAAGGCCTGTCCTCACATATCTAAAAACTAACAGCAACACAAGAAATAAGAAGAGATGCATAAAAAAAAGTTTACAGAGAATTTTCATAACCTGTTCCCAAAAAAGGCAGACCTGCCAGTAGCTTCCTGCTTTAAGGTCTGTGTTGCCTACCTGTGTCTTCATGCACACACACTTCCAAGCAGCTACTTAGGCAGGAGCGTGGGGCTGTCCAGGTGCCATCATGGCACTGATTACCACAAAAGCTTTAAATTGCAAAATTCCATCAACTACTTGAATGCGTGTGAAATGGAGCACCCTTCACAGAGCTCCCTTTAGGTTTGTCCACTCCCAGGATGTTCCTGTTTCTCTTATGAGTAACTTTACTAAAGGAGGCTGTCTCTGTGACAGATACTGCTGTTCTACCTGAGTTACATCAAGGGTGAATAAATGTACTACATCTCATAGTACAGGTTTTATCAGCATGGGCACGTACTTGGGTATATCAGACAGTTCCAGGGTAAATGAAATAGGTGACCCAATAGCCTGTTTCTACAGGGCTCCTAATGGTGCCCTGCTTGTGATATTCCATCCTCTCCTTTCACAAACCATTTAGTTTGTTTTTATGTGTTCCCTGAGGGCAATTTTAAATCTTCAGCTTCATTTGCTATATTAAACACCTGGAAGAGGGTTTTTGTTGTTTTAAATAAAACTTCGCTGCCATGTGAGTACAGAGCCCATGTTCAAGGTGGAACATCTAATAGTCCTAATTATGTTCTGTTCATTAAACTGCATTAACAGAGCCAGCTGTTCCAGGAGCTTTGTTTATATTACCTACTTGTCTAATTGGATCAGTAAGGGTGCTTGCATTGGTGTATGGATTTGCTACCACTCTGTGGTAAAAGGGAATGAAACTATATTTTTCCTGTGAAAACATGCTACAGACTTTAAACTACAGTAAAAAAGATCACATGGAATTTCCTTAGAAAGAGCTATCACTCTTTTTCAAAGCTGAATTTGTTAAATGGGACTTATTCCTTAGAAAACCATGGAGACTACTCAGCCCTCGGTGACCATAGGAGTAGTTGGTGTCAGTTTAAGCAGAAAATATTCTGTGGTGGTACAAAGTACTCAGAAAGCTCTAGGTTAAAAAGCAAACAAGCAAAGGCAGACATGCAAGGGCATAGACAGTCAGGTCCAACACATGACCCGAGTGCTGTCAGACTCCCAGTAGCCTGGAGCCAAGCTAATGCTCGTTATCTCTTTGTTTTACCCTAGAATAACCCCAGCAATAAACTGGTGAACACCAACAGCACCGTCACAGCAACACATATCAAGAAGTTCACTTTTGTTTGCATGGCATTGTCCTTAACGGTAAGAAACCTTTGTTCAACTCTGGTTTTTCTCTCAACCAGAAAATTCTCTTCTCTACCTAATGCTAAAAGCACTAGCAGTTCAAGAAAGGTGAGTTGTCTTTTCTTATGAAGCTCTGCTGTTTTTATCTGGAAGAGTGAGTGTGATCATAGTACTGGAGTACTAAGAAAATCAACTATCATTAACTTAAGCTAGATATCTTAAGGGCTAGAGTTATTTATTTAATTCTCACTACTTTTCATTTCAACTCAGCCTCCATATAGGCAAGGACATATCAGAGATCTGCTTTTTTTTCTTTATCTTTTTTTTTTTTTTTTTAGAACAAAACTTCTAGTAACCAGCATGTCAGGAAAGTGAAAAACCACGTTTGTCTCATGTGCAGGAGCAGGGCAGCCAGGGGCACTGGGGCAGCCCCAGCCCTGGACAGGCTGAAGCCAGGCTGGGAGATGGGTCCATGGGTGAGCCCGCCTTGGAGGCGCCTATGGCCGGGCAGGGCAGGGCTGTGCGGAGCTGGAGACCGGCCCTGCTGAGGCATTGCTGGGGCAGGGGCTGGTGGCCCTGGGGGGCTGACACTGGGGCCCTGGTCTGTGGGCAGGTGGAGGGAGCCCCGAGGGCTGGGCAGGGACAGTCAGGGCCGGCAACGCCCTCAGGGCCATGACAGCTCCTCCGTCACCTGCATTAGCAGGACAAAAGCCAAGGGGAACCTAGAAAATAAGTTTCTCAAAGAAAAAGTCCTTCCTCACACTAGAAAAATAAGTGAGAAATGCTGCAATTGTTTTAGGAGGTGATGCTCAGAGTCCCTAAATTGATTCTGTTGATATCCCAGTCAGGTTTTGTCTTTATCTCCAGTGCTTCGTGCCTTCCATGGGGTAGCTGGCTGCTTTGTAACTCTCTTGTCCCCATGTTCACAAATCTACTGTGGAGTGCCAGAGGGCTGACATAATTTCTCTCTCCCCTTCTTTTTAGTGTAAAGCTTTTTGGCTGAGTCACACATGGCCTAAGCATAAAGGGAAACTCATTTACATCAACAGAAACCTTACAGTACTTGAGCCTGCAGCATTTGTAACCATCACCACCCTCTCGTCCCAGTCTGAGAAAATGGCATATGGTACTCCCTGTCTTATTTCATAGCTGAAAATGAAGCAACTTAATCCACCAGTAGTTGAATTAGGAGATCTCTTCTGCTCTTTGTTTCCTTTACTTTTTCCCTAAACAGATGGCTACTATCAGAAGACGTGATTGCATGAGCCAATGTGGCATCTTTTCACAGAATCACAGAATCATCTAGGTTGGAAAGGACCCTGGAGATCATCTAGTCCAACCATTCGCCTAGCACAGTTCCCACCTAGAGCATGTCCTTAAGCTCTAAATCGACCCAACTCTTGAACACCCCCAGGGATGGGGACTCCACCACCTCCCTGGGCAGCCCATTCCAACATCTAACAACCCGTTCTGTAAAGAAATGCTTCCTAATATCTAGTCTAAACCTTCCCTGGTGCAACTTGAGGCCATTCCCTCTTGTCCTATCACTTGTTACTTGGTTAAAGAGGCTCATCCCCAGCTCTCTGCAACCTCCTTTCAGGGAGCTGTAGAGGGCGATGAGGTCTCCCCTCAGCCTCCTCTTTTCCAGACTAAACCCCCCTAGTTCCCTCAGCTGCTCCCCATCAGACCTGTGCTCCAGACCCTGCACCAGCTCCGTTGCCCTTCTCTGGACACACTCGTGTCATTCACTGTCCTTTTTGTAGTGAGGGGCCCAAAACTAAACACAGAAATCGAGGTGCAGCCTCACCAGTGCTGAGTACAGGGGCAGGATCACTTCCCTGTCCCTGCTGGCCATGCTCTTCTGTCTATTAATTTCTTAGATTTAAGATTGAACTTTTCTTTCATGTGGCTTAGAGACCAGCAGCTCTTGCTCTAACTTGTATAACTTGTATTCCCTACAGCATGTAGGAAATTGGCCATTGAATTGGCCGTTGTCTGGAGACTTTCCACAGCTCTCATGATAGCTCCCATCACACACCTTGAGTTTTTCCTGTGTGCTGTGCCAAGCCACAGTTACATTCTCTACAGCTGGAGCCTCCCTTGAAGTCTGTCATTATTGTTAGAGACCCATGAAGGAGAAAGCCTTCCTCCTTACAAATTGTTCTGAGAATACTATTTCAGTCTCAAAGCTTTCTCTGAACTATTTTCTTAACCCTTCTGGGCATTTATCAGCTTACTTGTTTCTGATAGATCATGAGCTTCTCACATTACCATCACCATCCTCTGCAGGGTAATTTTTAATGACTGCAGTAGGCTTTTGTTTTGTAACTTTACAGGGTTTTTTTCCAAAAGTTCTCCCGTTCTTTCATAGACTCATCATGAGAGATATGTCTGCACTGAAATACCTGAAACACTTTTGAGGTTCATAGCTTTCCCTGTGCTGTTTCTATTTTTGCCTACTAGTGACAGATTCTTAGGATTGCTTGTCAACAGAGAGAGCAGAAAAATAGACACATGAGCTCTAAAGACTTAGTTTGGTTTGAGGGCCTGAGCCTGCAAATGCTTCAGCACACAAGCTCAGTAAACACAGGTATAACTCAAGTTATTACATGCCACAGGTTCTAAAGAACTGGACTTCATACTTGCCTCTGTTGCAGCCAGGTCAGATGGCCACTGTAGCTGAGCTCCCATCGCCATCGGTGATTGCTGTATTTTTCTGGAGGGGCTCTACCGCGATGAGTAACAGTCAGACTAGTGGCAACCACTGTTGGTCCGAATCAGAGGGAAAGTGGGAAACAGGCTCCCAGGCTGACTAAAAGATCAAAGCAAGTCAAGTACTTAGACATGCCATGTAAATACATTTTTCAGTGGATCATATATAGAAGGATTCCAGAAGATGGAAAGATAAAGGAAGGATTGAGTGCACCTTCATTTTGTGGTATGGTTGACACACTGCAGGGAAGGGATGCCATCCTGACAGGCTGAGAGGTGGGACCTCGTGAAGTTCAACAAGGCCAAGTGCAAAGTCCCGCATGTAAGTCAGGGCAATCCCAAACACAAATACAGGCTGGGCAATGAGTGGGTTAAGAGTAACCCTGTGGAGAAGGACTTGGGGGTACTGGTGGATGTAAAACTGTGAGCCAACAATGTGCATCTGCAGCCCAGAAAGCCAACCGTATCCTGGGCTGCATCAAGAGAAGTGTAGCCGGCAGGTCAAGGGAGGGGATTCTGCCCTTTTACTCTGATCTCGTGAGACCCCCACGTGGAGTACTGTGTCCAGCTCTGGGGCCCCTAATATAAGAAAGACATAGACTTGCTCAAAAGGGTCCAGAGGAGGCCACGAATATGACCAGGGTGCTGGAGCAACTCCCCTGTGAAGACAGGCTGAGAAAATCAGGGTTGTTCAGCCTGGAGATGAGAAGGCTCTGGGGAGAACTTACAGTGGCCTTCCAGTACTTAAAGGGGGCTACAGGAAAGACAGGGAGGGACTCTTTGTCAGGGAGTGAGTGTAGTAAGGGGACAGGGGGTAATGGTTTTAAACTGAAAGAGGGTGGATTTAGATAAGATCTAAGGAAGAAATTTTTTCCTGTGAGGGTGGGGAGACACTGGAACAGGTTGCCCAGACAGGTTGTGCCCCGCCCCCCCCCCCCCCCCCCCCCCCCCTCCCTGGAAGGGTTCAAGGCCAGGTTGGATGGGGCCTTGAGCAACCTGATCCAGTGGAAGGTGTCCCTGACAATGCAGGGGGGTTGGAACTAGATGATCTTTAAGGTCCCTTCCAACCCAAACCATTCTATTATTCTATGATTGTATAAAGTCCATTAACCAATGGAAAAAATAACAGCGAAACTTTTAGTATGAGCAGCAACTATTCAGGAAAGTACCCTCCCAATGTAAAACCCTGGTGTAAAACCTTGAGAAACCTCCCAGTCACTGAAGACATGGTATTTCATAGAGTTGGAAGAAAAATATCCTGTCCTTCCACAGACCAGTCATGCCTGCACAAGAAGTAATGTAAACCTACTACTACAGCAGAAGCACTTTTTCATCTTGTGTTGACAGTGGCAGTGTTGGGTCAGAGAAAATAAAACCCACAACATAGTTTGTTAAGAAACATAACTTTGTTTTTATTTTAAATCTTCATGGAATCTGAAAGGCTACACTTGAGCCTTCCAAGAATGACTGGGCAGCATGCAAGTGTGTTCTGCTGAGTGTGATCATAAGTACTGTCTCATAGCTTTGAAGCATCAGGTTGTTATTAAAGCTGCTTCAAAAACTGGAAATTAATTGTATTGCTTAGTGAAAAAATTGTAGACAAGCTGCAAGGCTGTAAGTAGAAGCTATTAGATTCCCAATATGTAAGAGAGTTGATGTGATTAGTTGTATTGATGTTTTGGTTGTAAGTAAGCAGTGACTCCTTCCAACAGTCCTGTTTTGTGGCTATGTAGCTGAATGTAAAATTTATATGGTAGAGGAGAGGAACTCAGCTGAAGAACTTTGTCCATACAGTTAAGAGACTGTGTTGGAGAACGGCTTGCAGAGAGCAAGGCCATAGCTCCCTGCAGGAGCTGGTCGGCCATAGCTCCCTGCAGAAGTCGATCCCAGCCACCTGAGGTAAACAAAGGAAAGAACCCAGGGTACAGTTATGTAAACAAGGATGAAGACCCAGGGCTCAGTTGTGCTAGCGAGGACTGTTGTGAGAACACAGAGATAAGCTGGGGCGCATTATGACCTTGGGGGTCAGAGGAAAACAGCCCTGGGAGAGAAGCAGGTTCACAGCAAGAAAGATGTTTATGCATACCAGAGATGCTACAAGGGGCTGGGATATTATAATGTGACCTTTTAGATGTACCCAATGGCTGAGATATTATAATGTAGTTTCTTAAATGTATCCAATAGAGTTGCAAGTAGTGTATTGTAGACTGCTTATATAAGGTGTGATTTCTATCAATGAAGTTGAAGCTTGCTCTATCATTCACATTGAATCGGCTGCTTGATTCCTCCGCCCGCCGCAAGACTGG